TACTCAGGAGGCTGAGGCAGGAGAATTGCCTGAACCCAGGAGGCGGAGGTTGCGGTGAGCAGAGATTGCGCCATTGCACTCCAGCCTGGGTAACATAACTGAAACTCCGTCTCAAAAAAAAAAAAAAAATTAAACCTACACAGTCTAATACTGATGTTTCTTCTGTTGTTTAAACCCTCTAGTGGCAAAGATTCTACCATTATTTGTTTTTTGTTTTGTTTTTTGTTTTGTTTTGTTTTAGTGGACGAGAGGTTTTTATGTTGCCCAGGCTGGCCTTGAACGCATAGGCTCACCTCCTCAAGATTCAGGACAAAGGCCAGAGCCACCGTGACTCCCATTCCACCACTATTTTGAGAAACCTTTTTAAAATTCTTTGTCAGTAACCACTTCACAAATTTTTCTGTAACAAATCTTTCCCTAAGCGTTTCTCTTTCCATTCTGTTCTTATTTGAGGATGAAAGGCAATCATTCAGCACTTTCTTCTTACCCAAAAATGAATTTCTTCCCTGTAGATAATATTTTTTTCTGTTTTAAATGAGTCCAAGTGGTCAACTTTGTTTATAAGACATGTATTTCATTTTTTTAAATTTTTATCTTTGCCCTCTCTGAATCTTCTCCTTTTTTTATAAAAACTAAAAAGTGCTATTAGAAATAATATCCTACTATATGTATGACATTAGCAAAATGAAGAAAATTTAAACCTTATTATCATCTCTGACACATCACACTTACCATAGTGCAGTGCAGCATCGTGTTACTGGTTCAGTACAATCCCTGAATCGGGCTGATTCACTTTGCTCTAAATGTCCTTTTCTGATTAACTTTGTCTATATGTTATTTATCCACTCTACATGTATCACTCTACATGGTTGAATGCCATACTGTGTTCTTTTAACATAGGAGTTTTTCAAATCAGTGTGGTGAAGCCTTTCAATGCAAGAACACAAAACCTAGAAGCTGTGAAAAAAAATTAATAAATATGATCACAGTTTCAAATTTCTGTATTGGAAAAGGTCATAAAGTCAGTGACAAACTGAGAAAAATATTTGTACCATATATGACAAAAGGCTAATGCCCTAAACACATATAAAGGATGCCTAAGTTTAAAAAATGCTGTAGTCTAGTAGACAAGTATATAAAGGAAGTTTATGGAGAAAGAGGGACAGGTGGCTTTTTTTTTCCAACAGTCCAGAGGTCTTTTATTTTTTTTTAACACCTATTATGAATTCATAGGGAATAGGTTCCAGCAGCCCAGGCTCCTTCCCATTGGTTCTCACACAGTGTGCTTCTCTGGGTGGAGCAGGCTGGCGCTTCAGTTGGACCCAGGTACCTTTCTCTTTGGCTTCTTTCTTTTTCTGATCATTTTCCTTCACGCGTTTCAGGAAGCTGTCTTGGCTCTTAGAGTGCTTGATGTGCTCAATACGCACATTAATTCACTTAGCAAGAATCTTGCCCTTAACTTGTTTGTTTACAACAATGCCATCAGCATGCTGGGCAACATTGCAGACTCTTCCAGTTTTGCCACGAGAACATTTGTGGGGCATTCCTTTTTGAACAGTACTCATTCCCTTGATGTCTACAATACCACCTTTCTTATAGATTCGCATAAACGTGGCCAAAGGAACAGCTCCATGTTTTCTAAAAGGCCTAGAAAACATAAATCGAGTGCCTCTCCTCTTTGGCAGTTCCAGCCAAAAGGCAGAACAGATGGCTTTTGAACATTTAAAAAGATGTTCATCCTCACCTATAAGACAAATGCAAATTTAAATTGTAATCACATCATTTTTCACCTATCAGATCATAAAGCTTGGTAATGCAATGTGCTGGCACTTTCACACATTATTGATATAAATACATGTTGTCACAGTCTCTGGAGCACAGTCTGGCAGTATCTTTCAAAAATTGGAAATGTATGTAAACTTTGACCGATACTTGCGCCTGGAAACACTTTTGCCAGAAAGCAAACATGTAAAAATACCGATTGAAGCATTGTCGTTCATTTTAAAAGATTTAAAAAACCATACAAATAACAATAGCAGATTAGTTAAATTATGGAGTATTCATACAGAGGAATAGTTTGCAGCTATTAAGAGGAATATAGTATAATAGTCCTAATATAGAGCTATTTTTAAGGTATATTATTTAGAAGGAAAAAAGATAAAATGTTTATAATACTTTTATCATTTTTCAATGAAAAGAAATGAAGAAAAACATATATTCTCATTTAAAATATTTCTAGAAATATACTTTAAAACTGGAAGTAGGCCAGGCGCGGTGGCTCAAGCCTGTAATCCCAGCACTTTGGGAGGCCGAGGCGGGTGGATCACCAGGTCAAGAGATCGAGACCATCCTGGTCAACATGGTGAAACCCCGTCTCTACTAAAAATACAAAAAATTAGCTGGGCATGGTGGCGCGTGCCTGTAATCCCAGCTACTCAGGAGGCTG